AGAGAGAAGAGAGGGAAGAGAAAGAAGAGAAAGAGAAGAGACAGAAGAGAGAGAGAGAGAGAGAGAGAGAGAGAAAGAGAAAGAGACAGAGAAAGACAAAGAGAAAGAGAAAGAAAAAGGGAAAGAGAGAGAGACAGAGAGAGAGGGAGAGAGAGAGAGAGAGAGAGAGAGAGAGAGAGAGACAGACACAGAGGGAGGAGACGCGAGCATGCATGCGCGTATGCCTGTGGACCTATGGATGATGGATGTGTACCGCTTACCCCCGTTGACCTATTGTAGTGCACGTTGCCAACAGCAGGCTCCATCAGGACCAACTGCTGCCCCTTCTCTGACTGTCCTTGCGGATTCGCTGCTTCCACTTTTGCAGGACCTGGGACAGAGGCGAAGGGATTGAGCACCATGAAACAAAGCGAAACTCTGTGTTGGGACCGATTCGCAGAACTTACTCAAGGATGGTAAGCACAAAAACCCTAGACCCTAAACCGACAAACCTTGGCCCTGCCCAAGAAAATCTGTCAATGCCGCACCGAAACGACAGATCTATGCCCACGGCAGGTGACGAATCTGGCACGTTGGACCAGAGCCGGTACAAGTCGGCCTTAGGAAGCAGCAGGAGGCTCCGGGCACAAACTGCGGGCGTTGCGAGTTGAAAGTTGGAACGTTGGTGGAATTGAAAGCTCGAACCCAAATGTCGCACTCTGGATGATGTAAGGATGTTGGCTGGCACGAAAGCAGTGTGCGTTTGGCCAGAACTCCGAAGCTCTCGGCGTGGCTTTCTGGGGAATTCAGGGGAGGGCACGAAGACCCTGCCAAAGTGATTGCGGGAGTTTTGGAACGTCGCAGCTGTACGGGCTCTACTGCTTGCAGTTTTGGTCCAGTTTAAACTCCCGGCGTTCCTTCTCACTCGGCATCTTTGCTTCGGTGGAATTTTCGACTGAGGCCGCTCACCGTCAGTGCAGACTGGCTGTCTTCGGTCAGGTTTGCTGGCAGCCCAAGCTCGTCCTGAATGTGGCGTGAAGGCTTTATAGGGCCTATGGGGGGCTGACAGGCTGACAGATTTTTCAGATAAACTTCCGGACTTGGGAGCCGCGCGCCTTGGCTGTCTGCATCTCCAAGACCCTCGAGAAACGCAAACCCAAAAGAGACCCTGTACCGGACAGAAACCCCCTTCTTCTCGGTCCTGCAGTTCCGCGAGCTTGGCCTTGGAGGCACAAAGGCTTGCGATTATGTGTGGAGACTCTAAGGAGGGTTTAGGATTTAGGGTTTACCTGCGATCCCAAACCCTACAAAATAGTAGGTTATGACCCCTTAATTGGAGAGGGTAGAACCCCTAAAACGGTAGGTTTTTGGATCCCCAGGTAGGGTTTCGGGACTCAGAACTCCTCAGAGTTTTCGGCCCTCACAGATCTCCCGGACTTGGCGAGTGCAGAAAGGAGGATCAACCAGGACCCCAACTAACCGAAAAAAACCACGAAAACACACGCGAGTACCCAGGCAAGTACACTCGATCTTGCACTTACAACAAAAGTTTATAAGGGTTTAGGGTTGGGGTGCCTTGGCGCTTCGACTTGCATAGTAGGGGTTTCGGGACGACGTCTTCGGACCATTGCTCATCTCCCGCTGTTCTGATACGTCTACGACCCCCCAAAAAACGCAAAAGAAGCCCTAAACCCTAAACCCACAAAAAGGAAGCACCTGGGGCTCCGGGCAGTGCTGGACTGCGGAGGCTCGTCTCCGAAGCTGTAGAGAGCCAGCTGCATCGCCTCCGAAATTGGCGGAGGAAGCGAGAACATTCAAGAAAGATATATAATGATTATTATTATTATTGTTAGTATTATTGTTATTGTTATTGTTGTTATTGTTATTGTTGTTATTGTTCTTGTTATTGTTATTATTATTATTACTATTATTATTGTTATTATTGTTATTATTGTTATTATTATTGTTATGCTGAAGGACGGTGGCAGAGGCAAAGGGGGTTGGGGCAAAAGGGGTCTTGATTCTGAAAATTCCGGCTCCGCCACGATGGCCCTCCGTCGTTGGGAGTGTTTCCGTTACTTTGATCATCACCGCATGGTGCATCCATCACCTCTTCCTGACCTAGTGGATGGTTGATTGATTGGGCATCACAGACTCTCAATGAACACCTATAGAACCGGAAGGGCCGATGAACTGATCGCGTCATGATATGCCAGGGCCCATGTGATTTTGATCGAGCAGCCCTCAACAAGATCTACCCCTCCTCGTATTGCGCGAGCCTGGCCCAGCACCTTGAAGCGAAGCTTCAACATTTAAATTTAGCGATATTATAATTGTAGCATGTGCTTTCACTACTTAAATCCCCAGAGCCTCTAACCCTAAACCCTAAACTTCCTAAACCCTAAACCCCGTAAACCCTTTTGCATCCAGGACTCTCGCAACCAGCCGGGAAACTCCACAAGACAGCAAGTCAACCCTCCAGCAGCACTCGTGGCTACTAAAGTCTAAAGGATCAACGTCGTAACCCTGAACCCTGAACTTCCTAAACCCCCTTAACCCTAAACCCTGAACTTCCCAGACTTCCTAAACCCTAAACCCTAAACTTCCTAAACCCCCCTAGGGATATATCCCAAGACTTTGCAGAAGCATCGGCTGGGGCTCGGGGCTGCCACGGCCAAAGCCGACATGGGAAGCTCATCGCCGTAGGCGATGCCAGGACGGTGGACCTGGGAAGCTGCTCATGGAATACATCCGTAAGGGTTCCCCAGCAATTTTGCAAAATTTTAGGGTTTGCGCCACTGAGTAGCTGAGCGCTCTGTCCGAGACTGTTGAAACTTGGGAGCTTGTTTGTTCAAGCTCTACCAAGAAGCTTTCTGCGTCGGTGCGAAGGAGCTGATGTGCCTGTACCAGCGTGCTACGTGCGGAAACTGCTCGCAGGAAATGTTGTCCGGGGTCGCCGCCAGCTGCGCAACATCAGCCTGAGACGGCTTGTGCCCTCCGCCGAAATAGCTCCTTGTGCTGAGGTGCTCGTTGAGCTTTCTCAGGTCAGTGATGGTTTCAGCCTTGGCTGCAGCCTTTGGCGCAGCCTTGCAGTTTGTCGCCTTCTCTGCAGGTTTGGCTTTACCCCCACCACCACCACCACCACCTGTCTTGCTGCTTTCAATTTCGACGTGGACGCCGAGCTTCCCAGGCTGTGAGTTACCGGCCGCATCCTTGTGGTCAGGTTTGGCCGACTCGGCTGAGCACACCTCCACCTGCACCTGCAACTTCTGCTGCAAGTATGGCACGTTCTCGGCAATCAGGGCCAGCTCATCAAACGGTAAGGATGCATCTAAGGCACTCGCTCCAAATGCAGCAGCCTCGTCTCGTTTGAAAGCAGCGAAAGGCCCCAAATGCTTGCCAAAGGGTTTCAAAGACGGGTCCTGCATCAGCTCTGTCATGATGTCCTTCCACTGCGCAGCGGCTTCCGGGTTCGCCTTCATGTCTTCCTGAGACACCAGGGGTAACTTGCCGGCACCCTGTCGCGACCTGAGCTTCGCCAAGACAGTCTTCTTCCAGTCAGGGAACTCCTTTGCAACATAGACAACGGCCGACTTGGCCGTCCCAGCTTTGGTTGCTTTCTCAAGCAGCTTGATGAAGTCGGCACCTTGTTGAACATGTAGTCACCCTGATTGGACAGGGAAGTATCCAATGGAGCTGTTGGAGCTGGAAACCTCGCGTCCAACACCGATCCTGACTTTCCAAGGACGGTGGACCAACCGTGCTCGCAGAAGTGCGGGCAAATTGGTGACAGCGTTATCATTTGCCATTCCAGATACCGCATGGTCAAAGCTTTGTCGGGCCGACAGCTGGCAGCTTTGCAAATGTCACGATACTGATCGAACACGGACATGAACTCGAAGTAGCATGTGCGCAAAGCTTCCCGATAGTACATCGTCTCATAGAATTTCTTACTCTCCAACACCAGGCGATTCATTTCGTTGGCAAACCACTTGTCCACGAACCGCGAATTCTCGTTGCCTACGTCAAGCGGCTCGCTGCCGCTGACGAGTGCTTTCATTGTCTCCAAAAACACCGCCAGAGTGAGTACTGCTTTGTTACATACTGTCTGGTCAAAATTTGCTGGCTCCAGTGTATCGCCGGAGTTTGCCATCGCAATCCGGACCGTGTCTGCCGAGTAAGTCTTGAGGATCTGCTCCACTGTGAAGAAGTTCCCCTTCTGTTTGGCCATCTTCTCATTGTTGACTAACAACCAGCCGTTGCAGAAAAAGCTCTTCGGCCAGAGCTCGGGCTCCTTCTCCCAAACGCAAGCGTGGTTGTACAGAGCCATAGTCAAATGATTCTGAATCAAATCCTTGCCGGAGACTCTGAGGTCCATGGGGTACCAAAACCTGAACTCTTTCCGCATCTGCTCCAGTGTCTTCTGAGGAATCTTACTTTCTTTCGGCAGGGGCGTGTTGAGGAAAGCAAAATCCCACACGTCGTCAGTAAGATCCTCAGCCTGAATTTTGGCGGGACTCCCTTGCCCACCGTCCAAGTTGTCCTCTCCATGGAGCAGATGTGCCACCGAGTAGTAAGCCATGTAAATAGTGCTATCTGACAATGACTCGATGACGAACTGCTCGTCCCAAGGTACCTGCGTGCCAAGCCCGAAGGCTCGACTGCATGCCCATTCTTTGAGCCAGCCAATTGCATCCTCGAAAGACTCCTTGATGCGGTCGTTGTAGCTGACAAAGTTGGAGCTCTGCAGATGGCCCTCAATCTGTCCCTTCCAAGACTCTTCACCGTACTTCAAGTACCATTGATCAATTGCAGCCACCACACACTCATCACCCGATCTCGAAATCACCTTCTTCTCGGGCTCTGAGTACGTGAATGCTTGCTTTGCCTGAATCATAACGTTTCTGAACTCGACTTTGGCTTTCTTGACAGGCTGACCCGTGAAAGGCCCAGTCGACATGACACCCTTGTCGAAACCCAGCTTATAGCAGGTGTCGTGGGCTTCTGCTAGCTTCACCCGGTCGTTGATGGACTGCACGCCCAGCTTCTCACACATGTACTGTGCTGCCATGGTCCGAATTTCGCCATCGATCTCTACGTCAATGATGGGGATCAAGTCGAAGGGCACCACCCACTCCTTCTTCACTCCGAAGAACTCTCGCTTCTTGTCTGACTTCATCAGATCCATGTAGGCAGCATAGTCATCAGGTGAATCACTCGGGACGCTGGTGACGACGCCGGTTCCCTTGTCCATCTTGATCGTAGGCAGTGGCAGCACGAAGACGTGGTCGAACTTCGTGGTCGGTGCTTTGACCTTCTTTCCTAAAAGCTCCTGACCTGAAACCTCCATGTAGCAGTAGGGCTTGCCCCAGGGCTGCAAGATATCCTGAAAGCTCATATTGCGAGCAGCTCGATGTGAACACACGTAGACCTCCAAGCCAGGACCCTTGTAGCATCCGTACTGCCCAGACGGCAGAATCCAACAGTTGGTCTGTCCAGGCATGGTCTCGGCCCTCAGGGTCGCTGCCAGCAAGAAAACCTTGCTCCCTTCTGCAAGGAGCTTTTTCATCATGTCCGTCCACTCCAGCAACTCGATCTTGATGGCAGTGTACTCCTGGGGTCCCACACCTTCGCCTTCTGCTCGATCGTGGTCCATGCATGCCTGGCCATCCAGCTCACTGTAAATGGTCGGTCTCTTTCCAAATCCAATCTTTTCGGATTGCTTCAGCTTCCTGAATTGCCAACGGATAAAACTATCGTAGAAGCTGTTTACAGATGTTGTGATGAACGATCGGCGGAAGTCGACTGGCGTGCCCAGGCGCTTCAGATCACGGATACCAAGAGGCGGAAAGTACTGCAGCCAGTATGAAGGATCAACGAACTTCGGAATGTCTTCAGGAGACAGACCCATTGCCTTCATGATCTCGTACTGGAATGCCGCGTCACCGCTCTTGGCTTGGATTTTCTTTGCTACACGCTTTCCACCTGCAGCGCCACTCTTCTTGTCTTTGGGTGCTGCATCAACAGAAACTTGATCTGACTCTGGGCTGGGAGGGCATGAGGAGCCGTCCTCCAAGACGGCGATGACCTTGTAGACGCAACCTCCACCCTCGATGGGCAGAACAGTCCGGACTTTGTTGCCAGCCGCCTTAAGTTCCTCGGGGCTCGGGGGTGGCATTTTCTTGACGACCTTGAAAACTTGATCCTGGACCTTCATGTGCACGACATACTCTTTGACTGCCTTCTTGCCCGTCGATGCTGGGGGCTTCCACTGCATGGTGACGCCGTCATCATCGATCTCAATGCCGTCGGGCGACGACTCCTTGGGCTGCGGACGTCCGGGTGGAAAGATTGGATATGGCTTGCCATACACATCGAACTCCCTCGCCAGCTTGTTGGCTGCAGCCTGGATTGGCATGCCTGTACAATGGAAGCCGAAAGGGAATAAGACCTTCTTTCCAAGCAAGCGATGGAAGTGCGCGGCAAAGATTGCCTTCGTCAAGGAGAAAGCATGGCCGATGTGCAGCAGGCCGTTCATGTACGGATCGGGAAAGTGCACATGAACTTCTCGCTGCTGCTGTCAGGAGCATCACATTCGAAGATCTTCTGCTTCTCCCACTTCTTCTGCACATCAGCTTCAATCTGCTGAAGCAGGTCTCTCCTCGCCGTGCTCTGCTTGCCGTCCGTCGCCATAGGCTTGCAAGTCCTCGCCGGGGCTGTACACCGCACGCGTGAGATAGACAACACTCTGCGGCCCAGCAAAGGGACTATCAAGGCCCTGGCCCTCAAGACTTGAGCCAAAATGTCGTAGGGTTTAGGGTTTCTACTCGCACACTCGCACAAGCAGGCACGGATTCCAGCAGCGGGTATGTTCCTCAATGAAAGGGTTTTGGATCTCTTGGCAGGCTCAGAAACTTTGCCACAGGAGCAGCCAAGACCGCGACTATGGCCAGCTCCACCAAAAAGGATGCCACCACCTGGATTGCGATGGCTTGTGGCTCAAACTTCTATGCAAAAAACGCTTGCAGTAAACCCCTAAACACCCTAAACTGAAACTAGACTAGCTAGACTCGAGTGTATAGCTTTTCCATCCAGGGACTGCAGGCCAAGGCCTCCCCCTGTAATGTCATGCAAAGAGATTGAAATCTTGGATGTGGGCTGTTCTCCAAATGAGGGTCCCGCTTCTTCCCAGCCCAACCCCCTAAACCCTAAAGCCACTATACACTGCGGAAAGGCTAAGCGCCGGGAACCCCAGTACGCGCTGTGGCATGGAATCGACTAAACATCGACACACCCTTCTTAGGGTCCCTTATGGTCCCTGGTGTAAAAGGCTGCCGTACTAGATTTTCGGGTGCCTAGAAGGGGGGTCCTAATTTGGGGAACTACCGATCTGCAGTAGGGGGTCATGAGATTCCCGGAGTTCATCAGGATCACTGTTCCACAACAGGGTTTCGACTCTCACTCTCGCGCAAGGCGTGCAAGGCTCCACACAACAGGGTTTAGGGGGTCACATTTTGGAGGGCTTTTCCAGCGCAAGAAAGCCGAACCTCTCCCTCCCAAAGGATCGGACAGCCATGGAGTTTACATTTAGGTTTTTGTGGCGCGAAGCACAACGAAAACCCCTACCGCAGCGGGCCAGCAACCGAGTGCCCATGTCCCCCAGATCTCATGTCACTTAGGGTCCGAAAGCTAGAGACATTGTGATATGGCTTCATGGTCGCTGTGTGCCTGCAGCATGCAGAGAGGGCGGGCCGGCAGCGCCTTCTTCTTCTGCTCCTGGCGCAAAGATCAGAACTTGGAGTGCGGAGGCCCCCGTCAGACCACGCCCGAAGGGCCGGTCTGGAGCACCAACTTCCCTCAAAGAAGCGCTCGGACTTGCCAGATGAGCTTGGGATTCAGGGCCTTAGGGTCCGGTCCTGAAGCACTCATAATTTCTGCGGATGTTGCGCCACTCGCCCGGACTGACGCTCTGTGGTCGCTGATCGGATTGAGGAGCCTACCAATAGAGCTGGTGGGGATGCCTGATTCAGGGTGCTTGCAAGAAAGATTCATTTGGGGGTTTCCGAAGAAAGGGGACCCTAATATAGTACCCCCAAATAGTATTTTTGAAGGACCCCAAAATAGGGTACCCCCTTATTTGCGGAAAGTCCCATTTTGGGTCGCTTGTCCTCATCGGTCTGGTTCTTCACTGGCGGGCCCAGGAGCTGAGGGAGCCGCATGATTTTCAAGCCTCCAGTGCAGCGTTTTAGGGTTTTAGGGTTTTAGGGTTTTAGGGTTTAGGGTTTAGGGTCTAGGGTCTAGGGAGCCTCCGGTGCAGCTTTTTAGGGTTTAGGGTTGAGGGTTTATAGGGCTGACGCTCGAGATCGGGCAAACGATGGAACAAAGAAGGCCAAAACTCATTGCTTCCACTGCCTCATGATGCAGGCCGTACTCCGAAAAAACCGAAAAGTGAAGAGGATTTCGCCAGACCAGCGCCTAGAATCCAAGAAACCTGATCAACCATACATGATCTGCAGAATACTCAGCATTCTGGTGAAGAAGACTCTCCACCTCAGCCTGGCTTACCCCAAGTCCTGGTCCTGATCTTACGTTCCATCGGTGAGGAAGCTGGGGCACCACGCCGCCCCACGCAGACTCCTGGTTCTGGGAGGCTCAGGTTGAGGGAGCTGTTGCAAAGAAAAAAAACACCTCCGCCAGAAGCCGGCGTTTCCCCTCTGTCGCGCTCTTTGTCTCCTTCATGCTGCCCATAGGCACCGCGCACCCCTCGGAGTGTGATGGAAACTGGTAGAATAAGCGGCCTGCACGGAACTGCACGGACTGCCGGCACATGTGCGTTGGACATGCCCTCCCTCCGAGCTACATGACGCGAAAAACCAGTTTGGAGCATGGCGAATCAGGCAGGTATGCACTTGAGAACGTACCCGACACCACGACCCACCAGACACAAAGGCGCTCGTGCGAATCCGAGTCACCGCGGTCAATCCAAAACGCATGCGCAGGTCCCAGGTCAGGCAAGCATGCTCTCAAGTGGGAAAGGATGCTCACGGAGGCAGCTCGGAGAACCGGGGTGCTGCTATGGCTGCGAAGACCTGAAGGGCAAACCTCCGGGCCACTGGGGCATGAGGCTCAAGCCTCCCTCCACTCAGAAGAACGTCCGCCCCCGGAGAAGGCAGAGGCCTCTCTCTGGCCAACTCGGGGGGCCGTGGTGCCACCCCAGGGGGAAGGGGCGGCAGGTCGACTTGAGCCAAAATGGCCTCTCTCTGTCTCTCTCTCGCTCTCTCCACACCAACCTGGCCTAGGATTGCAGGGGGACTCTCTTGACTAGACTCATTCGAACGTTTCACTGGAGTCAATCTACATCATCTACGAGTTCATGCTCCGTGAACGTCCTTTAAAGTGTGCTCTGTGAATGCACTCCCCGACCTGTGACCTGGCCTTCGGGCCCCTGCCCCCGCAAGAAGGTTGCAGGCCGGCTATACCCTGGGGCTCCAGTTACCTGAATAGTGGGTTACTAACCAAAAATTATGTACCCCAGTAACCTACTATTTAGGTAACTGGAGCCCTAGGGAAAAGCTAGCAGCGCAATGAGCTGGAATCATGTTGAGCTGAAAGGGAAGCTCTAAGAACCCTCGTGACGCTGCTTCTGCGCCTCGCACTTCGGCACGTGTCGACAGATTTCCCGCGACATATGCTGCACCAGCCTCACGTGTGGCTGGCATCAGATGCGCATGAAGCGAAGCGGTTGAAGCCACAGGGTTGCCAAGGGCATGATGACAAATTCACTGACGGATTAGGAGGTTGCAAATCCACTCTAAACTGCCCTCCTAATTACAAGGCAAGCATCATTCGAGGTCTTACAAATGGTCTGACCGTTTTCCAATGCTGCCGTGCAGCTCTAGGGCCGTGGGCACCATCAGCCGAAAGTCCTGTGACCAGGAGGATATTGTTCTACATGCACGACCCAGAACCTACATGTAAGAAGTTCCACCGAAGCTCCACCCACCGAAATGCACCTGGCACGTTGTGAGGTGCTGGCCTTTCCGGTGCAAGAGATAGACATCACACTTTGCAATCTATGAAGGATGCTGGGGCTGGATTTGCCTTGGACCTATATAGGTACACAGGAACGAGCAGGCGTAGTTCTAGCAGGGGACGCTGCAATACTTTGCTGTCCAGCCCGGGGAGGTTGGACAAAGAGCGACTACAGGAATGCATCACAAGCAGGGGTGGAGGAGCCTCGAGCATCCGACAAGAAACCCCTCAAATCAAGCCTATAATCAGGAAATCACGAGCTTCACAAGGGAGTTGGTCCAGCTGGCGTGCGATGAAGATCTCGTCCTTCTTGATCTGATTCAACCTCCGCGGTTGCTGGCGGGCTGTGATCACTGTTGGTCTGGCCATGCCTCGAAAAGGCTTTCGAATTTGGGGTTCTTGCTCGGCTGGGCAGCTCTTGTGTGTTCGTCGGCCTTTGTGTTTGCATACCTTCAGACGACAGCTAGGCTGCTTCACATCCCCAGAGCCACTAGCTCTATGTACGTGACCCACCACCCCTAGCATGCTCAGGACTTTTGTCGGGTTTGAGTGCCTATGCCCGTAAAGGTTAGTGAGGCTTGGCCTCGAAGCTGGGGTTCAAGCTTGGTCTCTGTCACAGGAATGAGTTTCAGCTGTTTCAGAGATGGACTGGGGACCCTCTTGGCCCTTTTCCCCCGTCCTCTGTCTGGATAGCTTCGTCTCGCCCTCTTTCAGCGGGACCTGTCCCATGCCCCCGGCCCTAAATGCTGGCTTACCGTATGACCGTTTCAGCCGGGCTCCGTCTCAAACAGATCCACAACTGGCTGTCTGAGGCTACATGCCTATCGTGCACACCCAGTGGCGCAGTTTTAGGACAACAGAAACCTTTCCTATCCTGACCTGCCACAACCTGAAGTCACCAACCTGCGTACATCCTTGACCTCTACGATCTCTCTGAGGAGCGATCTTGATGTCCGAAGGAACTGTGCATGCAGTTGCCAGTTGCACACACAAGGCACACCAAGTCTGGCTGTTCCTTTTCGGCCTGCGGTTGGCAAAAAGCAGCGATTCAATTTAAGGTTTTCCAAATCCGGATGCAGGTCACCTATATTCAGGCCCCATATAGCTCAATGCCGTCGTTGCTTTCTCGAAACTCTCAATGAATATCAAAACCTGTCCCCAAACCCCTCCCCCGGCCAGAGGCGACAAAAGGTCAATCAGCGCAAGATCCTGAGGGCGACTCTAAAGCCGGATCTGCTGTTGACAGCGATGTTCGACGTTGTCGGGCGACACGAAACTCCTGTTCCCTTCGCTTCACTGCTCCATCGAAGGTGTGGTGCAGCGGTGCGTGACTGAGGCTGGGACAACTTCTGATTCAGCTTCGGACCTTTCGTGGTGGGATCAAAGCTGCAGGTGCTCCGGCCAGTGTTGCTGCACGCCCGATCGCAACCCGCAGGGAAACTAGCATCTCACGCTTTGGCCGGGGGGCTTGTGGGCCTCCTTTGGGCGCATTGAAGCTTTTAAGTC